AGCACGAGGTCCCCCACATGGTCCAAGGAGATGTTATAACTGTCAGGAGCTGGGACATTTCCGGCCAAACTGCCCCAAGCCCCCTAAAGACAAGACACCAGCAGCACTACAGAAGGAGTCAAACTCCAGCTCTCCAGGGGAACTGTAGTGGCTCTAATTCTCTCTTTCAGAATGAAAAGTTTGTCGGAACAAGCCCCACAGTGGTGGCAAGGATTGGTGGAGTACCAGTGAAAAGCTTAGTGGATACGGGCTCCATGGTTACCCTTGTCACCGAGTGGTTCTTCAGGGAGAAGCTACAGCCAGCCCTTGGAGATCTGAGCCCCAGAACACAAGTGCTACAGCTGCGAGGAGCTAATGGTTTGGAGATCCCTGACATTGGTTATATTGTCGCTACAGTGGAGATCGGTTGAGTGATGGTCCCTGGGTGTGGCATCTTCATCACGTAGGACACGTCAGCCACTACAGTAATGCAGGGGAGGGTACCTGGCCTAGTGGGAACCAACGTTCTTGGGCAGGTGCCCCAATACCAACAGATCCTGCAAGACGAAGAGAAGAACATTAAACTAATTCCCCCCTTTTTTTATTTACTTATTTCATCACTCATTCATACATCCATTTTTTTCTTTCTTTATTTCTCATTGCAGGTTCAAGAATTGGGTCTTCAGAATCAGTACGGAGAAGACAATGGTTCATTCCAGTTTGTAAGAAAGGTAATGGCTCTCCCTTTCTTGCCAGCATCAAACATAACCAGCATATTCAAGAAACCCATTTAAAAAAATCATCAGGCGGTATTTTACTCGTTTTCATCTTAATATTATTGTTATTTAGTCTATTTTTTTGTTATCATGACATAATTCAGCCTCTTTCGGCTGCAATGTTTTTTGATTAATAAAATGTATTTATTAATCTAAATATATCTTTATTTGTACTTTTGGCAATTCACTGATGGACAAGACCTTCGTCTCTCAAGTACTAAGCACTTCCAAGACTTCCAAGCATTTTTAGCTTTCTAGTTATTTTTGGAAGTTGGTACCCCTCAATTTGTTTAACATAAATAATGTATCAAATAGAAAATGTTATAATGGGTACAAATAAAGTTCTTCTTCAAGTACTATTACCATCCAGTAGCCCCCAACTGTTGCCACAAGAACATCCCACCATACAGACAACCACAAAAACTGCCCTACTCAATACTCCTGATGGATAAGACCGTAATCTCTAAAGCCCTTCCCAAGCAAGCCACTTGACCTATAGTCAATTCAAAAAATGTTGTCGTCGACCAACTCAAGCCTACGCGACTGGACCGAAAGGAACTCTGGGTAGTAATCATTGAAGCCAAGTTGACTCCATAATTTTATCTGACTAGTTATGCCTGGTTTACAGCACGAACCTTCGTAGGCGAGCGGGAAGTGTTGTAGGAGACGTTTTTTAAATGCCTTCATATATTCGAAATTGTGAACTGAATCATAAGTACTTTKTTTTTGTTTCCTTAAACCCAAAGACATGCATTTGATGGATTGTTTCTCGCCATTATTATCTTATTACTAGCGAGAACAATTTATTCAGAACGAATATTTAAGCCGCTTCAGTGATTCTTACCCATATTCCTTTCGGTCCAGTCGCGTAGGCTTGAGCTGGTCGACGACAACGTCTTTTGAATTGACTGTATACGTATACTGTAAGACGTATACTGTAGACTTTAAACACCTCCCCACCACCATGAAAGAATTTCTTAAAGAGCTTAAACTGTACTTTACAAAGCCGTTAAATCTTTAGAGGCAGAAGCCACCTGAAGCCGAGTCGACCTTTGCCAAAGCTCAAAATGACTTTTGTGTTAGTAAATAGTCAAGACTTGTCGGGTAGATTAATTGGTTTGTTATTAGTTTCTTAATTAACACAATTCTACACTAAATGATATGTAAATATATTTGTAATCTCACGACTAGTATATCCCTTAGAACTGATCTTTGATTACAGAAAATGCTGCTTTCAATAGCCAAGGACAAGGCAAATTTCCTTAAGCCCAGTTTTCGCAAATAGGTTTACAYATGTTTATGACCTGAGTTCTGATTTGGATTGGATTGATAGTAAGGATAAACAAGAGGATGTGCCTCCTGAGGATTAAGATGATGATTATATTCCATCTCATCAAAATGATGGACAACAAAGTGATAGTGGAAGTGAAAGTTCTAATGAAGGTAGTAGTGAGGACGAAGAACTACACTCTGACCTGGAACTTCCGTCAGTACATTCAAATCTCTTATACAGCTACCAATCTCACAGTGGCGACAGGGGCCGCCAACTGCACTCAAGAGGTGCTGGACACCTTGGAGAGGCGAAACGTGACTACAAGAGATTAGCTAAAGAGAAAATGGCCAAAATGACTGAGCGTTACTTGAAAAATAATTAGTTCTTTCTAATTTCTTCTTTACCAAAGAACTTTCTTAATTCTTTTTTTTCTCTCAGAAAGTAAGAACGTGCATTATGTGCCAAAAAATCAATGTAGTTAATGATGAAGTATTAGAAACTTACACTTACTGTTTGCAGTGTACATTTATCTTTATCCGTATTTGTAAACAACACTTTTCCAAACCATAACTTTTTCGTAAGACAAATTTATTTTAATTTGCAATAAACAGAATCATAAACGAACATGCTTCATTTGCTCAGTTGAAATTAATGAAGAAGATGCAAAACATCAGASATTTCCTTGCTATCCTAAACGTTTAGACCATCAATATTTTTTTTAAATCAATAAACCTTTTACTTAAAGCTAACAGTCGGAGGCCACAATCCAGTAACAATGGAATACCCTCGTAAATCCCCAATAATAAATCCTTATCATTAAGGTCAAGAAAGTTAAGTTAAGAAAGGTCATGGATAGACCCATCGGAGTAAATATGTTGAACAACAAGAAAACAGACAAGTAGGTGAATGTCATTATATGGGATAAACGTGTAGTAACGGCGAACCATGCAGATGAGGAAAGGACGCACAACGGATTGATTAGAAAGGAAAGTTGTGAAGAAATGAATGATGAAGGCTACTACATGCACTATGTACTATGTGGGCTTTAGGGCCTGCCCAACTAGGTAAGATGGCCAAGGACTGATATTCTTCATTAACTTCCAAACATAGAGTGACTTTAATTTGCCTATATAATTACTTATGTTTTCCTTCGCTGGTACTGGACTGGAACTGGTCAGCTACTGGAACGATTTCAATAGAAATATGATACAGGAATTAAAGAATGAAGCAACATACACCATTTAATCATCAATTAGAGCATGCTAGTATTCAACCCAATCCCTATAACAGTAAGGTTGAAGTTTATTTACTAAACTGTCAATATTTGCTCTTATTTCAGGGCAGCAATATTTCTCACATTGGTGGTGAGAGAGCTTTCCACAATGTTTTGTACTCTGTGRCCATGTTGCTTCAGAGGCAACTGTGAAGTAATAATCTTCATTCATCTATATTGAAGAGATAGAAAACTGCATGTGGTGGAACTAGTCCAGAACAGGCTCGCCACAATGTCTTTATGCGTATTTGTAAACAACACTTTTCCAGACCATAACTTTTTTGTAAGACAAATTTATTTTAATTTTTAGTAAAGAAAATCAGAAACGAACATGCTTCATTTGCTCAGTTGAAATTAATGAAGAAGATGCAAAACATCAGACATTTCCTTGCTGYCCTAAAAGTTTAGACCGTCCATATTTTTTAAAATATCAATGAACCTTTTGCTTAAAGCTAACAGTCGGAGGCCACAGTCCAGTAATTATGGAATACCCTCTTAAATCCCCAAGAATAAATCCTTATCATTAAGGTCAAGAAAGTTAAGTTAAGAAAAGTCATGGATAGAGCCATCGGAGTAAATATGTTGAACAACAAGAAAACAGACAACTCTTTGTATATAATTATAAGGGATGAGGAGTTCTGCACCAAGTGTATTCCAGGCCATGGCTGCATTTACTTTAGCCAAAAGATGGCTAAATTTTTCATTGCAAGAAAGAATGCAGATTGTAGGAAGCCTTCTGTGTGGAGTAAGAAGGTAAATAACGAAATTTGATGAAATTTATTTATTTTTCTCAGCTGAATTTTGGGGTACAGTGGCAGAGGAAAATTAGGAGGGTTGAGGGGAAAATCTTCTCTATCAGGAATAGCTTGGCGAAAGCTTAGTTATTAACTATATCTAGAAAATGGGAGTTCTAAATGTAATGAGGTATGCACCTATTAAAAAAACGTCGGTCTGAGTTCTGAAAAGGGAGATATAAGACCAACGGAATTTTTGTGCTCTTTTGTGCACCCACAGTAAAGCAGCAAACCTTTAGACACCCTTTCTTCAAGTGTTTGGAAAGAGCGAATGATAGTTGCGAGTATTTTCAGTGTGGCAACACCCAACCATCGAAGAAGACCATGGAGAACTGGAAGCCTTCAATGGCTGACAAGGCTACCATCACGGACCTTTGCCCGCTAACTCTCAAGAAAAGAAAGAAAGTGATAGTTAAAGATGAAAACTACAATAGGAACATTCATGAGTATCGCCTGAACGTTTTTTCTTGAGCTACAGCAATTCACCATTTTCTTTTGACAAATGTGTTGATTACTTAGTCATCTGTTTAAGAACACAGAAAASATTACGACTTAGAGGTATCTTGACAATGGGAAAATTATAAACTAAGTGATATGTCAATATATTTGTAATCTCGCAACTAGCTTATCCCTTAGAACTGAYCTTCGATTACAGAACATGCTGCTTTGAATAGCAGAATCAAAACATGAACAGTTTACCAAAATAATCTATTTTTTATTTTTATAATCTAATTATTATTTTTTTCCATCATATATTCACAATACTTATTTACCATGTAATTAGTCAATGATTAATAAAATGATTTCATCTTTATCATAAATTTTAATGTTCAAGTATATTTCAAGGTATTTCATAAATTGTCATTGTCACATAAAGCATAATGTAATATATGTAAGCTACTTACTTCATTCTGTTTATGTTTCTAGCCTTTACTTGACTAAAACTTCATGCCATCATATGCCTATAAATTCAAAAACATGTTAATAAAATTAACATATCTCCAAGAGTGAGGAACAACACTTTAATCTTTAATCATGTTCTCTTAAAACAGTTACAGCTATTTTCATGAACATGCGACCTCGGTGCTCAGAGTTGCATGCTGAAATTTGTTTTTCCGCTGTCATCAATCCAACCTTTCATATTTTTGACTGGCGTCAGCGAAAAACAAAAGTTCAGCGTGCAATTCAGAGCACCGATGTCGCATGTTTATGAAAATAGCTGTAAAGAACTATACTAAGAGATAATAATAAAATGTGTACTATATGTTCAGTAACATATTTCTGTTAAGAAACAAAGAAATTATTTCCATCTTGCTACGAAGCTTGCAGTAATGAAACAAACGCTGCTCGGATTAAAAGTTTGTTTTGTTCATCACGGATTGTTGTACAAAGCTAAAATACTTCGAGAATTGTAGCCACGATTTTGAAGTAAATTATTTGGTGTGATGTTTTGTTCAAAATATTTTTTCACAAATAAACATTTTGATGTCCTGAGGTTGACGACCGGGATTGAAATGTCAACGATCAAGAGGTAAATCAAACTTCGAATAATGAACTCAATCTGGCTTCGAGCATCGATAAAAACGCACGAGTTGGTTCAACTGTACAAGCACCCTGTAGCAGCCATAGGTCGTTATAAATGTAAATAAATAATACATCGAACCTCTTTTTAGGAACTTTATTTTAAACTTGCCTAATTGGGCGCTGAGGTCGTGGAAAAAAGACCCGAGAAGAAAGCACAATGGAGGACACACAACCGACGCCATTTTGAAAGCGTCTCTCGCAAAACGCGAGTATCTCAGCAGAAATTTCGTTCAAAAAAATCCCTTCATTCCTAACTCAAAATAAGCAATTCTCTTCATGAAGCAAATATTCTGTTTATGAAGTAAAAGACTGAAGTTAAGCTTTACTAGGTTGTAACTTTTGCTTTCTTGCGACTGAACTTTTGGATTTTTCCGGTTACGAAATCCAAAACAACAACTCAAGATTTGCCAGAAAAATTCACGGAATAAAACCTTAAACAAAGCTAAGTTTTATAAAACATTTATCATAGATACATTATCTTAAAATATTTTTTAAATATAAAGCTTTTCCTACCTTGAAATTGGAGATTATTCGGACTTTGCGACAGCCCAACCTTCTTCCTTGTTGTAAACATATCAWGTTCAATGATGCTTTCAAGGTGAGGCTCAGGCTCGCTAAGGCTGCTGGGATAGCACGTCATCTGCGCATGCGTACGTGAAGCAGACTTCCGGTTCCGGTTCCCAAAATAAAACGTACTGTGAAAATGAGTGAAAATGATTTTTATTTTATTTTCTTGAAAGAAGTTCTTTTTACACAATTTCCTAAATTTCCAAAAAGATTATATCTGAAAACGTTTATAGTCGTTATATAGTCTGTTCATTTTTTTTTTAATTTTACAGGAATTTTTTTTTCAAAAGACAGAACAGATACATTGTTTAGTAGCCTCGTCCGCAGGCTAATCGCTCACTTCGGATCGGATAGGAGATGGGATTTTGGTAAAATGGGCTTCCTGTGGTGCAAAGGGAAAAGAGATGGACTGGAGACGAGAAAGAGGAAGAAAAGAGAGGAAGGGGTGGCAACTCTTCCCTCTTCTCCTTCCTCCCTTCCCCTTCCCCCCTCAGCCTCTTTTTGGCTCGCCCCTAGTCTTCTCTCTTTTGTTTGCCACAAGGACTCCAAAATATAAGAGTCGCCTGAGAAGAAGTCTAATAGCGCAGCGTAGCCGTGACATCATAAAAACGAAGACAAAGGCGAAATTCGGACAAACAAACTTACAAGTTTACTTTCAGCAGATAATTTTCACAGCCGATCGCAGTTGACCTTAATTTACATGGGTTATTACTGTAACTTTAAGTAAAAAATAATAAAATCGGTTCGGCGGTTAAACGAAATGCAATATTTGTCCGAATCTTTAAGCTATTTTTAGAATCAGTGCGCTGCGCTATTGTTTAGGCTGCCTGTGATTTTTGTGGAGCGAGAAAATTCCAAAGCAGGGTTTCCTCAAATTTTTCTCCCGGAATACTTTTTAAAAGTTCGTGATTGCCTCATTCAAATCCTTTGAAATAAAATGAAAAGAAAAATTTAGTTTCCCATTCAGCCGCTATTAGTGTCGTCACGCCATGCTCACTCCTCTACGTCGCTACTTTTATATTATTTTATATCTATATTTTCCTATATGATTTCCGAGCCCATCCCACACGGCTTACCGCCTCATTTCTCATGTACTTTTATATAGGAGTGGGCGTGACGTGCCGACACTATTAGCAGCTGCGTAGGAGACGTCTAGAAGAAAATATGAAAAGAAAGAAAAGAAAAGAAAAAATAGTAATTCTCTTTTTATTTCCTTCGTAAAGCGATAAGAGTTAGAAAATCCCTGTACAAGRAAATGTTACTTCCAAGCGCACCTCCTCTGCTCCAAATTCTAAACGATTTACTTACAAAAGTAAATATAGTTAATTTGGGGCTTGGAAATATTGAAATAACCGCAAACTTTTCTTTTCTTTTCTTT